TCTTTTAAAAAAATTTAAAACTAAAGGATAGAAATTGTCTTGTTCAAAATTGCTGTCCCGATCATAGCTCAGTCTCCAGCTAAGGTCTGGCAATCAACAGCTTTATGTGGAAAAGAAAGAGGAGCACAAATCTCAGGGATTCAGTCACTTCCTTGCAGATGGCCACAGGTCACAAAGTTTGCTGGTCTTCAAAATTCTTGGTTTAAATGCGTTGAGAATCTGGTTTTTAACTGTCTTAATATACCTCTGTTTTTGCTCGCAAAAAAGAAAAAACTGTTGTGGCTGATTTACACAGAAAGGGAATTTATTAAAGCACATCATGCGTGACATAGAAAAATCTTGGAGAACCAAAGAATGAAGCTGGGAGGATGTGCAACTAGGAACATGTCCAAACCACACGGAGGATGGCTCCAGTGGACAGACCAGAACGGTTGGACACTGAGCTCTCACCACCATGCCGCCTTTCTGGTGTCTCTGCTGAGACTGGTTAAAGAAAATACGGTGCACCAGGCAGCGTAGCCACTTACCACTGGCGTCCACTCCAACTAGTAGGTGCCCCCTCACACTGACTTAAACAATACTTTTTAATGTCACTCATGCCTATAAGTATTATATTTTTAATGGAATGATTGAGTCCATTTCATAAAATATTGTGTACATATGCATATATGTTTGTCCCTCGAAAAATGTGGTTTCTCACGGGAGTGAGGTGTGGGTGGGGTAAAAGTGGAAGTGAGAACTTAATTTTGACTTGATACGTTTCTGTGTTGCTTAAACTTACCATGAGCATGTATTCCTTTTACAATAAGCATTCTGAAATAAAGAAGTAAATTGCTGTTCTAGTTATTAACATATTTAAGGTCATTTTTGTATGCATGAACTATACAGTTTATGAGCTATAATCATTCACTATTAGAATCGCAAGGGACTTAGATTTCAAGTGCAACTTTCTTGGTCAAATCCTTTAATGGAGTAGTCTACATTTATTGCCTCCCATGTTTTACCTCCTAGTCACAATTAAAATAATTCTGACTTCATTTTTATTAGAAGTATCTTTATTTTATTTAATCTTGTTTAGTTTTATTTACTGTCAGTAATTTTTTTCCTGGTGTCATCATAGGAAAGCCAGGGGGCTGGATTTTGCCCTTTGGGATTGAGTGAGCCAACATGAATACCAAGACCAAGCCATTTGTTCTTGACCCCCTGGACTGGGGGCTAGTGGACTCCTGCTACTACACCAGCACAAAAACTACCCTTGAAAAGGTCACCATGCAATTGATGACCTTTTGCAATTGGAAGATCAATGGAATCTTTTGACTTCTCAACAAACTTGGTGACTTAGCAGTGAAGAAAACTGGCCACTTGTTTTCTCTTTTTGCGTTTCCATAATGCTGCTCCTTCCTAATTCTTCTTGCTCTCCAGCTGTTCCCTTTCAGTCTCTTTGGCTGGTTTCTCTCTATATATACAATCCTTAAAAGAATACTCTCTTCTTTACATTTATAATCATGGTCTTAACTCATTCCTCTAGGATTTCAAAAATCTTCTGTAATCTGTTGATCCTCAGATCTGTAACTCTAGTACTGACCTCTCCTTAGCTACTCATTTTTCTTTCTTGGATTGTCAGCAAAGTCTTGACAGGTATCCCTGACTATGGGCATCTTCATGTACCTTTTTATTTTATGTTGGCTTTTTTGAGAGCAGGAACAGAGAACTACTCAAAATGGTTCAGGAAACAGAAGCTACAGCAGGGAAGGCCCTCAAGGAGATAGGAGTTGGAGGGTGGTTCTGCATTTAAGAAGGCTCTGTAGGTTAGAAGCAAGAGTTTGCAAATTGGCAGATCTTCATTCTGATGTCCCATCATAAATGGGACTTAACTACACCCCCTTTTAAACTTATTAAAAATGCAAGTTCTTGCCATATTTCTTAGTTTCTTAAGAGAGAATGTGACTCTCTAAATTCACATTTTACTTCTTTTTCCTGACCTCAAGTGTACGGAATTGAGTTAATCTTACTCAGACACACTACAATTTGTCTATGCAAGGCCATATTAATTGTTTTAATTTTTTTCTGTCATTTCTTGTCCTCACTCTTTCCATCTCTTGATGGAAATGCATCAAAAGCATTGCCTCTCATATGTATAATAGATGTCCTTGAATGGTATATGTTTTTGAAAAGTATATAAATGATGCTGTATTATTTCTCTCTGTTTCTTTTTTCACTCAACACTGTTTTTAAAATTCACGTTTCTGCATATACATCTAGTTTTGATGGCTGCAGGCTTTTTCAGTGTATGCATCTATCGTATTTTACTTATCTATTCCCATAGTGATAGACATCTGGGTTGCCTCCAGCTCCCTGCTTCCAAAATAATGCTGCGCAAACAATTTTGTATATGTCCATTTATTGATGGGTGACATTAATCTTCTGCTTTACATATATAGCTGTGAGATTGCCAGATATGTGCATAATTAATTTTACCAAGTATTGTGAACTTACTCTCCAGAATGACTTACCAATTTATATTCCTATGCACAGTGTTGGAGGATTCCCATTTCCTACCTCCTCATGAATACTTATGATAGTGCTTTCTGTGTTTTGCCAAAGTGGGCTTGCAACATAGCTTTCTCCAAGGCAGTTCATCCAGATCCAAAATAAGCCACTCTTGGATCAAGTGCTTGTACCTCGTCGAATCATGTGTAGCTAGTGAAGGGTGGAGTCACATGGTAGATAACATTGCCAATTTGCTCTCAGCAGGGACAGTGGGTAGGACAGCTTCTCCTAGAATGATTGAAGATGAGGCAAGGCCATGCCCCTTTAATTCTCCCTTCAAGTCTCCTCCATTTTGCTGCTAGTGTTATCATTCCTAATGCAGATCGCTGCTCGACCATGTTGAAAAATTATGCCCATAGACGAAATCTTAAAACTAATGCTCTGCCATCTGGCTTCTAATGTCCTCTCTGGCTGCACTGAACCTGTGTGGATTTCCTAGGGGGCCATACAGTTCCATACTTCTGTGCCCTTCTCCTTACTGCTTCTTGTACTTGCAAAGTTCTTTGGCATCCCCCAAACCACTGTACTGCAGGGCTGCCGACTAATCCTGTCTATTCTAAAGCCTTGACTCTTAGGCTCACCAGCCCTAGAAATGACTCTATGTCCCCTCCAACCCATGTGCCTCCTGGGTTGCCCTGGCTCCCCATCAACTTTTCCATGAGAATATCTAACCCTTTCCTGTACTTGGCTATGCTGCTGTCACCTCCTGCTTGGCTGCATGCTCTTTGAAGGCAAGGAAAGCATCTTCTTTGGCTTTTTAATCCCAGAGCCTCGCATAGTGCCTCAATCTAGTGAGTGCCTAGCAATGTTTTCACAGGAACGAATAAATGAGCCACTCATTTTACCAAGTAACGAACTAGGGTCTGGAGGGGTTTAAGGCTTTCCCAATGGTCTACAGATAGTCAGTGATGATGCTGGAAGCAAAATCCAAGTCTCCTGATTTCTACTGCTTTCTGCTGTCCTGTGGAGAATTCCCTGCATTTATCCCAATTACTTCCAGTCTACAGGATATGCAACTGAGACATTGAGAAAATCATCTTCTTAATGGCAGGAAGCACTCTACCACATAGTTAGCTCTATGTAGGCTTTTAAAACTTTCCTTTGGATTGCCCCTCCTCCACTAAAGCTACTCAGCTGTAGGGAGGCAGCAGTTCCAACAGCATTTTAGATGCTAAATTATATAAAGAAATTCACCACAGAGCTTCAAACTAAGGGTAGGAATTTCTTAAATCAAAGATTATATATACTAATTTTTAAAAAGCTGACATGAATGGCTAAATAATAGTTTTCTCTTCTATTTTAGCCGTCTTCCTACCTCTTCTAGACTATACATCAAAGAGGTAGCAATCAAAGTTGTCATCTCTGTCAAGAAACTTGGCAGAGGAGTTTACAATACTGAATGTGCTATTATAAAAGTATGTTCTTTTCAGTTTTCAACGGGCCTTGAAGTGTTTTGCAGAAATTCTCCACCCACTTCTGTACTCTCCTTGACCTTGAGAGAGTGCCACGGAGTTCCCGCGAGAGCTGAGGAGGAGCGAACGCATTGCCTCTTTTATTTTTCCATCCGTTCCAAGAGTCGTTCAGCTGGAGCTGGTGATGAGTGTGGCCATTAACTCCAGGCATTTTTCCTTCACTTTAGAAATAGGATAGGGAGGTGTGGAGGGAGTAGGGGATGTGAGGCTTCGGCAGCAAGACCCAGGGACTGCTGCGGGGCTGTCACTAAAGCCTTCCCAGCTTCCGCAGGTCTGCGGGAGGAGCATCGCTCTCCACGGCCCTGAGAATGCGGGTCATTATTTCTGTGCTGTGTATCGGGGCAGGAATAACAAGTCTCTGTGTAAATTGAGGAAACTGTGATGCACAGAAAGGCTCTGGACCAGCGCATGCACATCCTGCTGTAGAACAGGGGATTTCTGATTCTCAGCTTCTTGTTTTCAGTCACTAGGAAAACAATTTCCCATTTATCAAACGTGCCACGCAGGCTGATAGCATTAATGTTCATAACTGTCAGAGAAGCATAATGTTTATGCACATCAGTGACAAATTAGAAAATTATTTATTATATAATTCATGTGTATGATTTAAATACCCAGCAATGTTCTTTCTAGTAATGCTCATGAAGGGTTTTAGTTGGGAGGGCTGATGGCAAAGGAAGTAGGAGGTGGTGGTAACTGTGGTGTCAGAGAGAAGAATAAATCTGACTCCATATTAGATCTGTTCCTTTAGCTCTAACCTTGTGCTCTTTTTCCAGTGCCTTCTCATGCTGGTTCTGCAACTTTTGTAAGACGGTTGCCTATAGCCTGAAATATACAGAATAGCCCATTCTCAAGGCTCTGATCTTAAAGGGTGTAACACTTTCCCACTCATATAAAGATAAAAAGTTGCAGAATAGAAAATAACATTTGTTTTGTTGGAAGTTTGCAGGGACACCATGACAGTGTCAGCTGCAAGAACAAAGGATTCTGACACCAATAAGTTTGCAACAATCAACCACACCCATCCCTTTTTGGTATAAAAGGAGCCTGAATTCTGACTTGGGGAAGATGGCTCTCCCGGCCATTAGTCTGCCATCTCCTCTGTCTGACGGCTTTCTGAATAGTCATTTTTCTTTGCCCCAACACCTCGTCTCCCAATTTACTGGCCTGTCATGCGGTGAGCAAAACGAGTCTGGACTCGGTAAGAGTGGGACTTGTGGGTCACTGCTGTGTTTTTAACCCTTGATAAAATGATTCACAAACCAAAGTATCTGAAAACCACTGTATTAAAAGCATGGCATTTCCAGGAACAAACTAATGTGCTACCTCGTCATGAATTAACAAGTATAATTATTGAAAGTCTGAAAGCTATACTCTGGAACCATGACTTTTGGACATACATTCATAAATAATTAATTACATTTTTATATTAACTATATAATATATATTTATATATTTATATTAATTAATACATATTAATTAACTAGATGCTTAGCATTATACATATCATACAATAAAGGAAAATCTAGCCCCTTTCCCAAAATGCAGCACAGCTTAAGAAATATGGGAAGATTCATTTGTGGAAAAGTACAGTTTGTGAATTCATAGACTAATTTCAGTGGGCTGGTTAGCTCTACCCAAAGAAAACATTAAGAATTATTCTAAATTAACAAAAATATTTCCTCAACTTTATAAAAAATGATTCTGATCATGAAAATATATGATAACCACCTAATAAGCACAATAAACATAATCTTTAAATTAAATTATAACTTTTTTGGATGTTACCCAGGATTTGGTGACTTATAAAGGCAAGGAAAGACAGAACAAGTACTTTGAACTTGCCCAGGATTCTGTTTATTCTGTTTACTTGCAGATGTAACCAATACATCTAATGGCAACTCTTCATTTTTATCTGAATGTAGGCAGATGGGCAGTTTGCATGTAAAGGTAAACTGATTTTATATATATTTATATATACATAAAATATATAATACACACACACACGCACACACACACACCCCCAAGAAGTGTGTTAAGCAGAAATTTGAGAAAAATGAATAATTTCAACTTATTTACTTATTTAATTCTTAGGTTACAGAAAGGTAAAAAAGATACATGTATAAGGTGATCTGGGTGTTCGTTTGGAGCCCTGGTAGAGTAGTAAAGGGTCTATTCTAGATTGAAACACATTTCCAAAGAGGAAATTCATTTTCTTTTTCTCGACTGAACCTATGGGAGGCCTCGAAGAGATTCTCAGTCTAAACCTCTGATTTCTTAATTATAGATTAATTATGGAATGGGACAGTCTTTATTAAAAATGAAACACTTTACACAATGCAGTCCCTCAGGTTTGGGGCAAAACTTTACAGAAACCAGTTCCAAACCACAACTCCTTTTCCATGCCTTAAATTGTATCAAAGAAGAAAACCTCTTGGATTCCACTGATAATCTGCCCCAAAGAAGCTGTCTTCTATATGAGGTGGCAAATTTTTCAGGGTGTGAAACACTGACATATCTGTTTAGTGGCAGCCCTGGTAAGCACCGGATGCCTTTTTAAGACTCTGCGTGTCTGTCAGGCTCATAACATCCTCAACAGGTAGAACAGAGAAGGTTTGTGTCCTGGAGTCTTATTGTTGAGATTGAAAGACACAGCTCTTCAGCCTCCATTTTCCCTACAAGCCATTTGGAATCTTTTCATCTATAGCTCGCCAGAATGTTCTACTTTTTATTTCTCCTCCTCCTTGGATGATGACTGTGGGCCCCAGGTGCCAAACTGTGGAACATAATTGTCTACTGATGGTGACATCTGGTTTGTTGGCAAGCTTTTCCTCAAGTATTTTTTTTTCTCCCAGTGAATAAATGATAGCTTAGAGCTGGGTAATAATGGAGCTTTGTCTCTTAATATGTTTAGGCTAGGTTTATTTCGAATTTATTAGCGTATGCTAAGAGTAAACTATGAACCAATGATAACCCTGGCAGCAAGTTACTCTTCAGAAAATCCTGCAGTCATAATCAGCCTGGAATAAATTCTACAGCTGATTTTTTTTAATAAAACACTTTTCTATCTATCTCCAGGGATGCAAAAGTAAAGAAGATTTTTGAATCATTTACAAGGGGAAAATCAACTTTTACAATTGTTAAGTGCTAATGCAAAGTAGGGGGAGGGCCCTTTTGTGAAATTTTCCCCAGAAGTAAAATTTACAAAAGACTTCTGAATTTACATAATATGGATGTAATCCAGATATTCATTGTGCTTATTAACATACTGCATTCACTAGCCATACTCTTAATATTTCAAGATTATGTCTAATCACCATTATCCGTGGCTTGGCCTAAAATCTACTGAAAACTGAAGAAAAATCATGAGTGCTTACAAAAGACAAAATAGTCAATGAAGCTGTTATTTAAAACAAAATTCAAATATCATCTTTTTACAAAAGAGAAAAGTCAAAGTATGAAATATTTCAGTTGTAAAAATTTGACCCCACTCTTCCTGGTCCTGTAATACACAGGCCATGCATACGTCTTTAAAGAAAGAAAGCTACATGCTGCAAGGTTCAATACCAATAGATTGGTAAGTTTCTACTTGCTCAAACAGTAAGTCTATTAGTTTATTTTTTTGTTAAAGATTGGGTAAAAATTACACCAAAAACTAAATAATACTACCATGTGGGCTTTTTTTTCCTACAAATAATTCTTAAGGAGATAAAGTCAGATAATTCAGAAAATGTGGAATGTCAGAGCTCACCACTGATGCACTTGTGAGATTGTACTTGCCTAAGCTTTATTCCTAGTAAATATTTATTATGCTGGTTCTGCAAATGCTAGAAAGCAAATACAATGATAAGAAAGGTCAGTAATCAGTTTTACCATTTTCTAGAGCTTTTAGGCTAAACTTCGAAGGGTCAAGAATAGGATTTAATGTACAAACCTAGATTTAAGTAGGGGTGTAGTTGAAAGTAGAATCCATCCCCGAAGAGGCGGGCAGATTTTCATAGAAAAGAGTCTGGAGCAGGAAAAAAATAACAGACCAGGAGGTTGCAATACTCAAGGCAAGAAGTAACCAGGGCAGAACAACGTCTTGTCTGTGAGGCTGAGGAAGAAAGTACTACAGGAAAGAGATGGCAAATATGGCAATTGCTCAGAAAGAGAACAGAAAAGGGAAATTTTTAAGGGATTATAATGTAACCACCAGGACCCAGTGGGGCCTCCTCAGACAGATCCCTCCCCCACATCCTCTGCTTTAGCTCGTCTCTGAAGTACCTAGATAGCAGTATCTGATGCACATGTCCTGAGTTGCTTTACTGACACTGAATCTACTCCCACCCCGCCACCACCAAATGGAAGAAATGAGCATGTAGCCCCCCAGACCTGCTGGTGCCTAAGGATGGGTAATGTTAACCCCTGTGACTCCACCCTGTTACCTCACCATCAGCCAATCAGAGAATTGTACACCAGCTCATCACACGCCCTGAGACTTCCCCTCCCTCACCTGGCCTTTAAAAATGCCTCCCTGAAATCTGTCGGGGAGTTTGGGGGTTTTGAGCACTAGCCGTCCTGGACTCCTGGCTTGGCACCCTGCAGTAAACACAGCACCTCCTTCACCACAGCCCGGTGACAGTAGATTAGCTTTACAGTGCATGGGCCAGCGGACCCACGTCTGGTTTATAACAGTAAGAGAAGACTTCACAAAAAGATTTAAGAAGAGGATGTAGTAAAAGTAACATTGGAACTTTGGAGAAGCAAACCTTTAGAATAATGGATGCACCTGAGGTTTCTGAGATGGCCTTTATCTTCTTCCCTGAATCTGAGTGACGGGACAGCAGAGTCTACACTCCATTCCCCTCCCCACCCTCGACTCCCTGTCTCCTGTTTCAGCTTCCATCATGTCTGGAGATCACTCTGCAGAAAGCTTCCCAGACCACTTTCCCAGTGGCTTTTCCTCACTCAGTTCTCTGTTGGCCACTGCTCACTAGCAACCCCTGAGTGTCGTTGTCGCCTCTGCTTTCTGCTGTTTCCTTTCCCTTCTTCTCTGACCGTTCCTCCTCCTTCGGCCCCTCAACATCAGTGTCACCATCTCTCTTCTCTCCTTCGCATGGCTGTCTTATACAGTTTCAGCATGTCGGACACCTCAGTGAGGAGGGGCCCAAATCATTGCCTCGCTTTGACTCCTTTCCCAAGCTCCGTCCTCACATTGATCCACGAAACTCTCTTCCTGGATGTCCCACTGGTACCTCAAGCCTAAGGAGTTTAAAAAAGTATTCTCTCCCCATCACAAAACCTGCTTCACATCTTACGTTCCCCGACTTGGCTATTAGTATCACTGCTAATCATCCCAGTCACCCATGCTCAAAAAGACTGACTATCTTGGATTTCTCCCTTTTCTCTGTTCTCTAAATTCAATATCTCTTTGCAGTATCTCTCACATCCATTGACTGTCATTGTCACCACTTTGTTGAAGCTTCTGTAACAATCACTTTACTGTTCTCTCTGACTCCAGTATCTTGTATAGAATGTACTGATAGCATAATATGAATAAATATTTACTGAATTAATAAATAATATCAACGTTTATTCAATCAACAATTATTTATCCAGTGCCTACTATATGCTCGGCAAAGGTGAGGGGAGATAAAGGGATAATAAAGGCTCTTATGGTTTAAGGAAGGATTATCAAGTTTTTTTTAAAGAATTCCGAATTTCTGATCTGCTAACTTCACAGATAAAAAGATTGAGAAATATGATTTTATTTGTGGAGAAATAAATGCAGCAAAGATGTACTTGTTAATGGCAACATCTGTCTAATAATGGAATAGGATATTACATTTGTTTATAGTCTCCTTTCTTGAATATTTTTAAGTTTGATTATTCATGAAATAAACACGAGACTCAGGACCAAAACAAAATACATGCTAACGAGAGTCAGTGTACCTCCTGACCTGATTGCTTTAGTCTGTCTTGTTTCAATTGGTTTTCACACTGGGATCCACGTCTGTGGGTGACCACTGAGTACTTTTGCTGGAGGCAAGGCTTCTATTTTCTTTACCTGTTGGTAGCCAGGCTGTGGATAGTACTCAAAGGGAAGTAAGTGGCTATAAGACTCTGTAGA